AAGTGCAGTTGTTTCGGCGCACCTTGTTAAGTGGTCAACTGCTGTGACAATCCAGCGCTTGCCGCTAGCTGATATTGGTAGCGGTCCGTAAAGATCAATGCCAATGACATCGAAGGGAGCGTCAGGACACGGAAGAGGTTGTAGAAGACCGGCCGGGGACGAAGTGGGCCGCTTGCGGCGTTGGCATAGCGAGCATGACGCAACATATCGCGCTACGCAGTTGGAAAGGCCAGGCCAGGCAAAACGACTGCGGACGCGTTCATATTTTTTGAAAACCGAGATGACCAGCCTTGCGATCATCATGAAACGCCTCCAAAATCTGCGCCCTTAGGGAACGAGGAGCAACAGAAACCCAGGGCTGTCCTTCGGGGTGGAAGACAAAGCGGTAAAGGATTGAGTTTTCAGTCTTGAAGTTCCGCAGCTGTCGATGGGCGCGGGCGTTGGGAGGACGAGAGGAGCCCTGAAGGTGCTGCATTATAGAGCGACAGTAAGTGTCACTGCGTTGGTGGGATGCAAACGTCTCGTTGCCGAAGGTAGAAAGAAAATCGACAGCAGCGAGTGAATGAACTGACGGAGACACTTTTTTGATGGGTTCACTCACAGTTGGCGACAGGCCAGGAGTGCCTGATGAGGATTGTAATGAACAGCGGCTAAGGGCATCGGCATAGTTGTGTTTCTTCCCGGATTTGTAGATAACGTCAAACTCGTATTCTTGGAGACGAAGTATCCAGTGACCGAGACGTCCAGACAAATTCTTCAACGTCAACAACCATTGATTGATTGATTTGTGGGGTTTAACGTCCCAAAACCACCATATGATTATGAGAGACGCCGTAGTGGAGGGCTCCGGAAATTTTGACCACCTGGGGTTCTTTAACGTGCACCCAAATCTGAGTACACGGGCCTACAAAATTTCCGCCTCTATCGGAAATGCAGCCGCCGCAGCCGGGATTCGAACCCGCGACCTGCGGGTCAGCAGCCAACGTCAACAACCAGCACAAAGCGTAGTGGTCAGTGACGACGGTAAAGTGGCGGCCGTGAAGATATGGTCGAAACTTCTGGATGGCCCAGACAACGGCGAGACACTCCTGCTCGGAGATGGTGTAGTTTTTCTGTGCTGCTGTGAGGGTGTTACTAGCGTATGCGATGTCACGTTCGTCATAACGCTCTGTTCGTTGCAAAAGTACAGCGCCGTTTCGTGTCCGCTGGCATCAGTATGGAGGAGAGTGGGTGGGCCGTTATCGAAATGACAAAGCACTGGCTCAGACGTGAGTGCACGTTTCAAGGTGTCAAAAGCCATTTGTAGTTCGTCCGACCATACGTACGACGCTCCCGAAGAAAGGAGTTGGTGAAGTGGCGCAGCAATGGTGGCGAAGTCTCGTATAAAGCGCCGGAAGTACGACGCAAGGCCAAGACAGCTTCGGAGCTCTTTGACGCGTTGAGGCACCGGGAAGTGAAGAACGGCGGTAATCTTGTCGGGATCAGGCCGGACTCCATCTTTGCTGACGAGATGTCCGAGTACTTTAATACTTTTGCAAGCAAAGTGGCACTTCTTGGTGTTGACCTGAAAGCCAGCAGCTGCGAGACACGTCAGAACTTCATCTAAGCGCTGCAAGTGCTGTTCGAATGTTGAAGAAAATTTGACGATGTCGTCAAGGTAACATAAGCATGTTTTCCACTTGAGGCCCCGCAATACAGTGTCTACCAGTCGTTCAAACGTTGCTGGCGCATTGCAGAGGCCGAATGGCATGACGTTAAATTCGTAAAGTCCGTCGGGTGTGTCAAAGGCCGTTTTTTCCTTGTCTTCCTCGTGCATTGGAATTCGCCAATAACCAGAGCGCATGTCAAGCCTCGAAAAATATTCTGCTCCTTGTAAGGAATCTAAGGCATCATCAATGCGAGGCAAGGGATATACGTCTTTTCTGGTTACTTTGTTTAATGCGCGGTAGTCAACGCAGAATCGCACCGAACCGTCTTTGTTTTCTTACGAAAACGACAGGTGACAAGCAAGGGCTTGAGGAAGGGTGGATGATGTTTTCCTTGAGCATATCAGCAACGAGCTTGTCGATGATCTCGCGTTCGCTGGAAAAAACACGGTATGGTCGACGACCGACAATAGAAGTTCCGTTGGTGTGTATGCGATGAGCCACCGGAGAAGTCTGGCTTCGAGCAGTGGAATGTTGGTCGAAAGAAAATTTATGCTTAGACAACAACGCCAGTAGTTCGTCTGCTTGCGGGGGAGTGAGATCCGTGCTGGTGGCATTGACGAGAGCTGTAATAAGTGGAGCATCTGTTGGTATTGAACGTGAATCCACCAGACTGGTATCCGAAGCCACTACAGAGATAGGTTGTGCGTCCATGCTTGAAACTACAACAGCGCCCTTGGTCAGCAGAATCGGCTCATTGGTGATACTCAGTACTGCAAGAAATTCGGTGCCGTTGGAGAAGTGGACAAGACTCGATGAAAGTGCAATCCCTCTGTATAGACAACGGGCTGATGGACTGACTAGGACGTCACCGTGATCAATTGAGTCAGACATAACCATGATAACGTGCTCGTGGTTAGGTGGCACAAGGAAGTCATTGGCTGTTCGTAGCCAGTCATGTGATGATTTCGGGGAAATATCATCCATCTCTCGCATATGTATGAGTCGTTGTCGACAAGAGATGAAAGCAGCAGCATCAGAAAGAAAGTACCATCCTAAAATAAGCATAAAAGCACAAGAAGCCAGCACGGCAAACTGGATATGATGCCGGATCCCATCAATGAAAACTCTAACGGTGCACTGTGCTGATGGCCGTATCTGCGAGTCATTTGTGCTACGTAAGAGAGTGCCAGTATACGGTGTGGTAACCTTACGTAGACGAGTACACAAATCCGCATGAATAACAGAAATAGCAGCCCCCATGTCCACTAATGCCTGAACTGGTACCCCTTCCACATACACTGATAACAAGTTGGCTGGGCCCTCTGGAGGTCTTGGTGTTTGTTCGAGCGATGAAGCTTTCCCTCGAAAAACTGCACCAGCTAGCTTTCTGAGTGGTAGTCAGAAGTAGGTACAGCCGGTCTCAGAGGAGATGTTGAGCGTCGTAGAGGTGAAGGGGACCGGCGGCGTCCAGGATAGCAGGGGCGAGGGGCGGCGAGTGGAGAATTCAGAGAGAAGGAACATGTCATTGGGCATCACTGGTACTGGTTCGGGGATGGCTCCGAATCCTTTTTGTACTTATCGTAGCCATGGCGTTCGTCCTGTTGGCGCTTGCGACAAAATCGTGAAATATGGCCCCGAATGCCAGAATAGTAATATATTGCGCGATGGGAGCGCCAGGGGGCGTTGTGTGCTGGAGCTGTCAAAGGAACTGGTACTGGCGCTGGGACAGGCGAGTTGGTGCAAATGCTGCTACGTGTGACTGCGCAGGAACAGTATGCGCGTGCTGAACCAAGGCAAGTGGCATGGCAGCGACTTGCGCATACGTCATGGGTGGTGTTGCTGGCGCCGTAGTGTTCGATGGGAGAGCGCCAGCTATGGATGAGAGCTCCTCTTTGATGATGTCGCGCAGTCCAGCAGATTAAGAGTGAGGCCGAGGGGCGGGTGCACATGACAACTATTGCGCTTGAAGTTCCTCGCGAATAAGAGTGCGAATCAGCGCGCGTAAATCCGCATCCGAGGAAGGCCGGCTGTCACTGGCGTCTGGGTAGTCTGGGTGCAATCGAATGGTTTGGAGTTCATCAAGATGCTGACATGTCGTGATGACGTCCTCAACGGTGGTTTTTAACAGCCAGAGCGTTAAACGCGACATGGCCTATCCCTTTGATGATGTGGTGAACACGATCAGCTTCTGTCATTGCCGAGTTCACGCGGTGGCAAAGGGCAAGGACGCCCTCAATGTACGAAGTGTACGTTTCTCCGGGATGTTGGGCAAGCCCATCGAGCTTTACTTTCGACATTTCGGAATGGATGTTCGGTTTCTCAAAAATCCTACGGACTTGTTGAGCAAAAGTAGGCTAATCCGGGAAGCTGCCCTCGTGCTTAAAAACCACGTTTTCGTGACATCGAACAGATAGAAGGCGACGTGACGAAGTTTTTGAGGCTCATCCCATTGGTTACAAACACTGGTCATGTCGTATTCTTTCAGCCATACCTCGATTTCGTCGCGTGGAAGACCACAGAAGATGGGTGGGTCGCGCTGCCGGGCGTTGACGATCTACGCAGGAGTGGTTTGTTGGACAGGGATGCTGGATGTTCCGGGCAGCGGTTCTTGAGCCATGACAGCGGACGGGGGAAACAAGCGGCGACCCGAACGAAGCTCCAGGGGAACATGACATCGGAGAGGACTTGGGGATTGAAGCAGCCTCCACCACTCTGTAAGACAGTAGCAGCGTTGGAGTCTCGACAGCATTTATTAGGCCGAATCGCCTAATCAACCCTTCGAACGAAGGCGACGTTTTTCGTGATGATGATTATGTACAGATGAAGAAGATGAAGTTCAAACGTTGTCAATATTGTGCTTACACTATCTATCTATCTATCTATCTATCTATCTATCTATCTATCTATCTATCTATCTATCTATCTATCTACCTATCTGGCTATCTATCTATCTATCTATCTATCTATCTATCTATCTATTATAGCGGCATATGTCAGCCTAGCTTAGACAGTAGCAGATGTAATAGGTATTAAGTAATCACTCTAAGGCACAATAGGCGTTGGTAAGGTGGGGCTGACGTACATAAATCTTTTATCGGTTCTGTTATTTTGGTCCATAATTTGGTCTTATTGTTTGTGCCATAACACTGTTCCATCTGTCAGTATATAATTCATAGTTTTCCAAAAAAATGTTCACTCAGTATTAAGCGTTTGGTACCGTCTTTGTGTCCGCGTCTAAATAGTGCGCTCTCATTTCAAAACAATCATCTTTCACCAACTCGTCCAATCAACCATATTGACAAAACTTTTGACTAGTGTTTCACTTATACGTCTGATATTAGAGTATGTTAGTTGGGAGGCGGCCACGCCGCTCCAGCAGTAAACGTGACAGTCGGACCATGCCAACAGAAAAGAACAGCCAGTTTTATTCACACTCGTGAATATATATAGGAAAGTAAGGGGGAGAGGGAAGGGGGATAAGATTGTGCACATGCGCACTTGAGAGCTTGGGTCGCGTCGTTCAATGGGTTACAGCATTTCTTCCCCCTTAGTAGCCAAAACGCACGACCGGTTTCTTGGCTCGTGTGGAGCGACGTAGTACGTATGGTTGCGATTCTGGGGTACTCTGAGAGGTAGCCGGCGCCGTTGTTTCTAGTCGTACCGGCCCTGGGGAAACCGGTGTAGATGGCCTCGACATGTCGTCGGCTGCTGGCGTTTCATCTGGGCTCCGCTTGCGAACTTGATCCACGTGGCGGCGGACAAGGCCATCCACAGTCTTTACCTCCAGGAGGCGAGTGCCACGCGTAGCCTCCACTGTGCCTGGGAACCACTTGTCTCCGGCGCCGTAATTTCGCACGTACACGTAGTCTCCCGGTGCGAAATTCCAGCCTGGGTCACTCGCAGCTTTGGCAGGATAGACTCTGGAAGGAAAAGACATCTCCATTCTTGTGCGCAGACGGTATCCTAATAGCCTCTCTGAGGGAGAAGGACCCTCCTGGTGTGGTGCGTTCCGATAATTGCACAATACACGTGCCAGTGAGGTGAGGAGGCAAGTGCCGCCTATCTTCTTCAAGCCATCTTTGATAGTGCGCACGGCTCGCTCTGCTAGTCCATTACTCTGGGGGTGATAGGGAGGTGTTCGAATATGCGCAATGCCATTGCGCTCCATGAACTGCTCGAACTCTCGTGCCGTGAATGGCGTCCCGTTGTCAGAAACCACCGTGCGCGGTATACCAAAACGGCTAAATATCGTTCTGAGGGCCTCGACTGTGCTATGCGAGTTGGCCTGCGACACGGGGAGCGCCTCAATCCACTTGGTGTGCGCGTCGACAACGATGAGTAACATTTTCCCTTTTACTGGTCCCGCATAGTCCACATGTAACCGCGACCACCTTTCGTGCGTCTCGGGCCAATTTACTGGTTCTTTTGCCTGAGCCATCGGCAACGCTTGCACACAGTTTTGGCATGTCGCCGCAACGCGCTCGATGTCTTGCTCTACGCCGGGCCACCAAAATAACGATCTGGCCTTCGCCTTCATGGTGGAAATTCCTTGGTGGGCTTCATGCAGTAGCCTTAGCAACTTCCCGCGTGCTGCTGTCGGCACTACAAAGCGATGGCCCCAGTAAAGAAGTTCTTCACTAACAGACAGCTCATGCCGCCTTTTGTAAAAATCGGCGATTTCTGTAGTTTCCGTGTCGAGTTTTTTCGGCCAACCTTCCCGGGTATACTTGCGTACCTGGAAAAGTACCTCATCCGCGACGGCGAGTGCCTGGAGTTCCTTCCATGGCAGGGCCGGCTGATCCCACTGGTCCAGGGTCAGAACTTGAGCTTCGTCCTCCTGGTCCACTTCTTCCTGCAACGGTTGGGGTAGACGGCTAAGAGCATCAGCATTGCACATGAGTTTACCCGGTCGATGTTGCAACCGATAATGGTAGGCACCAAGTATGATGGCCCAACGCTGAATGCGCGCAGCGGCCATAGCCGGCGTCTGACGATCTGCTCTTAGGAGACCCAACTGTGGTTGATGGTCGGTTAGAAGCGTGAACTGTCTGCCCAGCAGATAATCTCGGAATCGCGTGACGCCATAAACCAGAGCCAACGCCTCACGTTCAATCTGTGCATAATTCTTTTCTGCGGCAGTAAGCGTCCTGGATCGAAATCCAAGGGGCTGATACTGTCCTTCAATTCGGTGGAATAGTGCCGCTCCCACACCGTAGGGTGACGCGTCGCACTCCAGAAATAGCTCTCGTGCGGGATCGAAGTGAGTTAACACAGGCGCGGAACACAAAACGGCTTTTGCTTTTCGGAAGGCATCGTTTTCGCGCTCATCCCAAGACCATTTCGATTTCTTTTCCAGAAGAAGGTATAGGGGACTCAGGAGCGTGGACAGATTAGGCAAGAATTTATTGTAGAAAGTTAGCATGCCCAAAAAAGACCGCAATTCCGTGACATTGTGAGGAGTCGGTGCCAGCTTAATTGCTTCGATGTTCTTGTCTGACGGGTGCAACCCTGCCGCGTCAATTCTGTGTCCTAGATACGTAACTGACTCCTCACCTATTCGGCACTTGTCCGCGCGGAGCTTCACGCCGTACTCCCTGAACCGCTGCAAGACTGCTTGCAGGTTCGCAGTTGGCTTATCGTTCGCATCTGCTATCAGGACGTCGTCTAAGTACGCTTGAACCCCTGGGAGGCCTTGCAGCACCTGCACAATTGTTCGTTGAAAAATCGCAGGGGCCGAGGCTATCCCAAACGGTAGCCTGTTATAACAAAAGAGGCCCTTGTGAGTGTTTATAACCGCTAACTTGCGCGAATCTTCGTCTAGAAGAATTTGGTTGTAGGCATCACGTAGATCCAAGATACTGAACTGCTGCCCTCCACGAAGCGTAGCGAAAATGTCGTCCACTACGGGTAGAGGATAACTTTCCATTTCACATACTGGGTTTAGAGTAACTTTGAAATCGCCACAGATGCGGACTGTTCCGTCACGTTTCAGCACTGGCACCACCGGGGTTGCCCATTCTGAATAGGAAACTGGCGTAATAATGCCTTCGGCCACGAGTCGATCTAGCTCGGCGGACACTTTGTCTAGCAAAGAAAATGGAATTTTTCTTGCCTTACAGAACCTTGGGGTTGCTCCGTCCTTTATATGAAGCCGTGCTGGTGGTCCCTTGATGGCTCCCAGGCCCTCCGCAAAAAGGTCTGCGTACTGTTCCAGCACGGGTGCCGCTGTCCGACTCTCCAGCTTCCCGTCCGATGAGAGTGACGCGATGTGAAGAAGCGGTGCCCCTTGTGTCTCGAGCATCTGTAACAGGTCACGGCCGCAAAGGCTAGGACCTTCGCAGTCTAACACAACGAGATCGCAGTCAACTGTTGCAGACTTGTAGGAAGCTTGCATTTTGACAATGCCCCGCACTGGTATCTTCCCAAGATAGCATGACAGAGTTAATGCAGCTTTACAAAGCGGTGGCCACTTATGACGATAGGCTTCGTATATCGCTTTAGGCACTACGCAGACAGGTGAACCTGTGTCGATTATCATATTCAGTGGCACTCCGTTCCATGTAACCTGCTTGTGTAGGGGCGGAACCAGGCTTCCATTACCCTTCACTGACCATATTTGTAGTGCGTTACAATCGTTATCTTCACTTTCCGCTGAACACTCTGTTATCGCGAAGGTTCTGTTGGTGGTGGCTGTCCGGGAGCATACTCGCGCCAAGTGACCTTGTCGCCCACATTTGTAGCACCTGCGCCGTCGTAATGAGCATTCCCTGGCTTGATGTCCCTGTTTGCCACAGCAGCTGCAGTGCTGCGATAAGCTGCTCCGTTCGCTCCTGCTGATTTCGGGTTGCCTGCTACGCTGCACGTTGAACACCCCAACGGCGTCACCTTGCCCGGTCATCTGTTGCGACCCTAACTCCGCGCTTTCGGCTGCTAGAGCTAGTGCTTCCGCTTCTGCCAGCGTCAAGTCCTTTTTGGCTAATAGTTGTTTCTGCAGGTTTTTCGAGCGCACTCCACAAACGATGCGGTCCCTCAGCATTCGCTCCAACATTGAAGAGAAGTTGCAGTTATGCGCTAGCTTGCGAATCTCGACGATAAACGCCTGCACGGACTCCCCTTCTTGTTGGTTTCGGTGAAAGAACTTGAAGCTTTCTGATATCTCGTTAGGGGACGGATCATAGTGCTCGTTCAAGGTTGAAACAACTTCTTCGTAACTCAGCGAGCTTGGTTTTCGCGGTGCGATTCTGCCGCAAAGGATTTCAACGGTCCTCGATCCTAACGCAGCCACCAACAAGGCCCTTTTTTTTGCGTCGTCCGTAACTTCGTTCGCTTCGAAGTAGGCGTCAATCTTAACGAGATACGCTTGCCACTTATCTGTCTCCTCTGCAAAATCCGGAAGCTTGAGGGCCATGGCTGCGGGCGGGCTGATGGGCGTCTTCGTCTTGGTCTCGCCGCTGGCGCCCGGCTTACACGTATCGGTGGGTATTCTCGTCGCCACTGTTAGTTGGGAGGCGGCCACGCCGCTCCAGCAGTAAACGTGACAGTCGGACCATGCCAACAGAAAAGAACAGCCAGTTTTATTCACACTCGTGAATATATATAGGAAAGTAAGGGGGAGAGGGAAGGGGGATAAGATTGTGCACATGCGCACTTGAGAGCTTGGGTCGCGTCGTTCAATGGGTTACAGCAGAGTATGACAAGATTGTCTGGTCCCCTCACACGTCTACCTGATTGTAAACACGGGATAGGCTACAGCATAAAGCAGTACGGTTCATGTACAACCAACCCCGGCGCACAAACTCGGCGACTAAGTTACTGCGACGCGCAGGGCTTGCTCCTCTATCAAGTAGATTGAAGCTTCATCACTTAAAGCTTATATACTTACTTTTGCACAATTATTTTAAAAGCAAGGCATCCAAAAACATCAATATAAGTCACTAACCAAACACTAAAAAATTTCGGGGGCCCTTAGGCTTGGCCTTTAAGAGTTGAATGTGATAGCGAAACCCTTTGGCGCCCTTCAACCGCTAAGTGCAATATTATTTATATGTTTTGTTACACACACACGAACACAAACGCGCGCACGCGCAAGCACGGCGTATCTATATTAAAACAGTGATTGTGCAGTGTGGTCACTTTGCTGGAACGGCGCTCTGCTCTAGTCGAGACACGTTTTGTATAATGTCTCACAGATGATACGCAGACACACACACGCAGACGCGCGAATGGTACATACAGGTTTTTGATCTAGAGCAAGAGTGGCATGGCCTCCAAGATACCCGCCGCGCGCTCGTCATTTCAGGAGCCATAAAGTGTCGCACAATGCCTCACACATTGCAGCACATTATCCAGCGTTTGCTGTTTGCTTGATCAACTCCCCTGGAAAGACATGGCATGTTTTCCGCTAGATGGACATATATTAGCCAATTTTTACAGCTGCTTGAAACTTCCTGTGTGTTTCTAGTGGTTATGGCTGCAGTATCCCGGCCTTTTTTGACGTAGTTTGATGGCTTCCCGAATAGGCCTACAAATCGCCGAATGGGCTCGTTTTCGTCGTGACTTTTGTCGAACAAAATGCGTTAAGGCGACTTCTTCAACTATAAGGCATTAATGTAGTGTTTCTTTTTTCTTGAAGCAGCTGCATGTAAGATCGTGGCTTTGGGGCAGGACATGTGCCTGCCACGCCAACTATGTGGGTTCGATCCTAAACCAGACTGAAACTTTGTTTATTTTATTTGATTCTTTCTCAACTTTTGGCTCACAACGAACGGTGCCGATGGCGAAATTTCTGCAACACGAGCTCTCTAACGCTATCGCGGTAGAACCCACTCACTCTCGATGAATTCCTATACAACAATACTTATTTTTCATTTCTTTTTCCGCTATCTGTGTGGCGCGGAATGCTCTGGACGCTTGCACGGTTTTACAAATGACCATACGAAAATTCTCAGAAGACGCCGAGCTATTCATTGTAATGCCGATAAAGATGCTTCACGTCGTGGGTTTGATTCCTATATAAAATACTTCCTGCTCGTTTGATGCTGTAACCTATTTTTGTAAAATAAAATGTAACCTACCTAATATGTAACCTACGATGCTGCAGTCTAGGTACATATATCTGCAACTGATGTATATTTCTCTGTTTAGGAGGTATGTTATTAGTTGCTCATTACGTTTAGGCACCCATGTGCAAATTCCACTGACGTATACATGGGCTGCACGTACGTCACACCCGAGAACGAGAGGACCGGGAACTGCCATATTAGTCAACATATGCAGCTGCCTCGTAGCGTATAGCCGGGAGCTTTGCAGCGGTGTAATTTGGTCTTCGGTAGCGCTACCGGCTTCACCATCACTGTTTGTGCCGTTTTCGGATGCTGAATAATATCCGCCACAGTGGTCTTGTGGCTAATGCACTCGGCTGCTGACCTGCAGGTCGCGGAATTGAGTCCCGGCTGCATTTTCGGTGGATGCGAAAATACTTGGACCTTTGTGCTCAGATAGGCGCACGTTAAAGAACCCCAAATGGTCGAAATCTCCGGAGCCCTTCACTACGGCGTCTCTCATATTCGTATAGTAATTTTGGGTCGTTAAATCCCCATTCGTCACTGCAGGCATCCCTTCATCATAGGTAGGGGTATTACCGAGTTATGTCCAAGTTTGCCTTGTTAGCTTACGTGATCGCATCGCTTTTCCGTAATGCCACCCAGATCCACAGCGATGTAGAGCTGACCTTTTTCTACTTGAGAATCCGCGTCTCATGTTGTTAAATGAGGTTAACAGCGCAAATATAACGGACGACGTGATTCGCAACTGAGCACCGAGCTTACCAGCTGCTGGGCTACGGCCGTCATGACCCGACTACTGCCGGAGCAGCAGCGTGTTTTCACAGCGACA